GATACCAAGGATCACAAACAAGGTGTGAATAACCATGCAAATTAGCTTGGTACTCTCGATGTCATTTATTATCTAACGAATGTGCTGGTTAACCACACAAGTTCCATTAATAAATAATAATTCACGAGTCACCCATTGCCAACAATATTAGTCTCATATTAGTGTGCCAGTTAACCACACATGCTTCACTAACGACCAATAAGGTGTAATGTGCAATTTCATGGATTAGCATCAAATTCATATTTTTCCTAAAGTAACTAAGAGTTAGATTTTAGAAAATAGTTTAGTTACTTTTTATCATTATACTTTTAATGATGTTATGTCCTATCAAACTCGTTAAGCTAATGACTCTCCATTAATTAAGGAACTGGTGGGTGAGAGTGGACACTCATTCAACTACTATTTTATAGGCAGTTTCCTTATACGCTCTTATAGATCGGCTTTGTGAATGAGGCATACTAGCAATTCGACTAACTTGTGTTATACATATATATATAATTTTAGACTTTTAATTTTACATATAGTATGATGGTGTATTTCAAACTTTTAAAATACTAGGGTTTTTAATTTTATTAAAATTTTCGTAAATTAAACCATTTAATTTAAAATTTTAAAAATTAAAAACCTTTGATTTAATAATTATCCAAAAAATTAAACAGTTAATTAAATTATTAAATCACATAAGGATCATCAATTTAAATTATACAGATTAACTTAATTTAATCCTTTATCCATGGATTTCAAAATTCAGGGTAAAAATATCCTTAATTATCCAATTAAACAATTGACAAGATAATTACCAAACATAACAACCTACTAATTTATTCCTTAGATTTCGAAATCTATTGCTTGGAGTGATAGGCAAGGCTTTTAACTTTGCCTAATCTTTGAAAACCCTAAGTTTTAAGAAACCCTAGATTTCGATTCCAAGGTGGCTAGAGGAAAGGGTTTGAAAACCCTTTGGGATTTCCGAAAAAATAGGGTTCTTTAACCCTAATTTGCAAAAATTGAAGGCCCTAGGGTTTAAAATCCATAAACCCTAATTTTGTAAAGTTTAATTAATCGTACCAAAATCTTATTGAAAAAAAAAAAAACATACGGTCTGATACCACTTATATGTTTTATACATAGCAAACAATCTTATGTATGCATGCAACCGTAATTTGAGGATCTATGTTTTCTCTATTAGATATATAAGCATTGAACACAAAAACTAGAAACCTTAAGAGGCTAGTATAATTTTAAAAATTAAACATAAAACTAGGGTAGGGATATATATACCACGATTGTTATATTGTAATAACAATCAAATCCTTAAAGATCTTGAACTTTGGGAGCAAGTGTCACAAGTGTCACACCTCTAATGGTTCACAAACAAACTCAAGCAACCAAGGAATACTATAAAGAAAGAAGAAGGAATAAATTCGTCCAAGGGTCTTAGAAAGAAGGCTTAGAGGAAATTCCTCATTAAGGAGAGATTATATAGGTGATTGGAAGATGTAGGATAAGATAGGTAAATCTAAGATATCCCTAATCCCTCTACTTCCTCCCTAAGGCATCGAAGGCATCCTTAGAGCCCAAGGAAACCCTGGGACACTCTAAATTTCATTCCCCCTACTATAGAGAGGTTCTAGAATTGCCCAATGCTCAACTATTGAGCATTGTCACCTTTAGACCCTACAGTTTCAATTAATTCTTTTAATCCCAAAATTAATTCCAAATGAATTTTTGATTAAATATTAATTAAACAATATGATTTCTAATTAATATATTATTTCTATAATTCATTAATAAATTCATTTATTTTTATTTCTAATTAATTTATTAACCAAGTAATAAATTAATAAATCATTTTTCTCTCTCCAACAGTTATCATATTCAATTGTCAGATTTGAAGACAATCCAAAAGGACTGTGCTACTATCAATTCAAGTTTATACTAATCATAGTTATGGGCTTAGATACCTAATCGAATAGTATCCATCCCATAGTGAATTGTTTATGTATACACACACGAAAAATCACAATGGAGTCACATTCACAAATGAAAAAGATAGACAAATTCATGTAATATTCATTTCAGTGCAATTAAACTTTTATATTGTAGCTAGTCCATAATATCATTGATAAATTTGATATCTTTTAACTTATACTAATTTTATTTTGTAGGCGGCCTATACAGAAAAACGGAAAAAGTAGGAAGCTAAAGGTGCTGAATTTGAGGAGGACAAACTATTTTATGATGTTGTTGGTGGTCATGACAAAAAAAAGACTTTATGGATTAGGATCTTTTGCAAAGGCGGTTCTCAATATTAACAGTAAAATGGATGTATCTTACATTTCGGGAAAAAAAATGATGAAATGGAAGAAATGAGGGAGCTTGTTGCTAAACCAAAAGAGCAAAACGAAGAGCTTAAAGAAATAATGAAGGCCCAAGAAGAAAAGAAGAATGCAAGAGTCGGGCAACTTGAAAAACAACTTAAAACGACAATGGATCTTATTAATGTCATTACAAAACAACAACGATAGCATTTTCCATTTTCCATGTAATAAATAATTATTGTATTATTTTATGATATAATGTTATTTGATTTTTTTGTTTTTATTTTCATATATTACTACAAAATAATTTGGATTGAATTTATAAATCAATTATCCATCCGTCCATATGGAATCTTTGATATTAAGTCTGCTATAAAATATACACCACGAAAATTGTTAAGGGATTAATGACCACAAAATTTGGTAGGAAGTCAACAAACGGAAGTTGTTCAGGATTCATCATCAAGAAATTTGCTAGGGATCCATAACCATGGATTTGCTAGAGATTCAGCACAACGGAATTTGCTAGGGAAACACCACCATGGAATTTGCTAGGGATTCATCACCACAGAATTTACTAGGGAATCACCACCATGAAATTTACTAGGGATTCACCACCACAAGATTTGCTTGGGAATCATCACTACAGATTTTTCTAGGGATTAACTATAACAGAATTTGTGATTGAAGAACTACCATAAAATTTGTGTTGGAATCCTACTACGGAATACATGACAGAATACCATCTACAAAGGATTTCATTCCCTTGTCACAATTGCGATGGAATGATTGTTTCTCTAGCAAACACTCGATATGGGATTTTTTTGGGACGAAAATCGGTCGTCGTAAATTCCGTCACTATTCGTCTTTTGCAACAGAATTTCAACATTTCGCTATGGATTTCTTCGGTAGCAAAATCACATTTTTCTTGATGTGTAAGTTTTTATTTCGTCAAAAGGTATTTAGTAATCTAATTTTTATGATGTTTATCATTTGTTGAAAATACAGAATACTTTACTCCATGAGATCAGTCAACAAACTCAAGCTTCTTCTAAAGGTAGTAGTTTAACACCAAACGATAGAAAAATTGTTTTGAAAGAATATTAGGCACTCGACGAGGCCATATCAGAGGCATCAGGCGTAAACCTTTTATGGTTGTATCGATGTACGATTATGAACAACCACTAATGCAGCCACCGCCATAATCACATGTAACAAGACTATTTAATTTTGATAATTGTTTCAAATGTTAGTAATTGTTAGTTTAGTAATAGTTTCAAATGTTGGTAATTATTAGTTTGGTATAGTTTATATGTTGATAATTGTTAGTTTCGTTATAGTTTAATATATTTGTATTTTGTAGTTTGGTAATTGTTAGTTTATGAAAATACAATGCTATAATGGAAAAAAAGTGAAAAAAAGTACAATGATATAATGTGTTATATGCAATATTTGTAATTTGGTAATTGTTAGTTATAGTATAATGTTATAATGTGTTATATATAATATGTGTAATTTGGTAATTGTTAGTTTATGAAAGTACAATGCTATAATGGTATTTTATAGTTTGGTAATTGTTGGTTATAGTACAATGTTATAATGTGTTATATGCTGTATGTGTAATATGGTGATTGTTACGTTATGAAAGTACAATGCTATAATGATATTTGTAGTTTGGTAATTGTTAGTTGTACAATGCTATAATGTGTTATATGAATATGTATAATTTGGTAATTGTTAGTTTATGAAAGTATAATGCTATAATGGTATTTTGTAGTTTGGTAATTGTTAGTTATAGTACAATGCTATATTTTGTACTTTGCTTGTATGTGGAATGTATATTTTGTATATAGAATGTTATACGGTGGGTTAAATTATAAGACTATCTTGTTTTCTTTGTAGTTGGACATGCTTCAAACAATGTTAAAAGATCGGTATGTAGTGTCGCATTTGAAGATTGGTTTCGTTCGTTGCTACAACGAAATGAAACCGAAGGAAACGAGGAGAGAGATGATGACGAGTATCTAGTTGTAGGATTTTTGTAATGTTTTGTTTGTATAAATATTTTAGACTTTTATATATATATATATATATATATATATATATATATATATATATATATATATATATATATATATACCAATACCGGCGACATTTTAGTGGCAACACATGATTAGTAGCGGCGACAATACTTTAGCGGCGGCAAGCCTTTAGTGGCGATATCTCACATTAGTGACCACATTTGGAGTATTAGCGACAAAACATCAGCAGTGTACTTTTAGCGACGACACATCACTGCTAATAGTATTAGCGACAAACACCACTTTTAGTGGGGACGCATCTCACTCGTAATACTCTAATTTCTTATGGTGAATGTTGTTTAACTGCAAAATGCTTATGTTCAGGATACTCAGATACACAAATGCATTTAATGATGAATGACTATGGTTAACAAGTTTGAGAGGCAACAAGAATCTGAATGAAATTGGACCATAAAGATGAAATGCACCAATATAAGAGACAAGAATGGTACAATGATGAGCAGAGCTAATGTAATTACTAGCCAACAGATTTCTGTTGGGATAAATCGAAAAAAACATGTTTGTGAATACTACTCTTTTGATACAAAATTAATTAGAATAATAGGATCGAATTATCGTTCCTAAACCACAGTTACGACTATGACACATTGAACCTGGCTCTAGCATGACCTTGAGATACCTGAAGCTGTTCTGTGATACCTAAGTGTGCCATTAGAAGCCAAACATGAGTCAGAAACTCACCCCCCTTACGAAGCTGCTGCTCGTGTTGAAACCCTCTGCAGTGAGTAGCAGCATAAGCTAGAATCTCAATCCATACTTGACTCATGACTTTCCACATTTCTTTCTTTTCCATATTTCTCAAAGTTAAGGCGAGTCTGCAACCATCAAACAAGGCAGATTTGGATCGATCCCCCTTCACTTTATATGGAGGCAATTCAGTGCATTTAACTTCAAGCAATTTTCTGGATGCTTCAACCTTTCCATTAATAGGTTCTTTTTCTTTGAAGAAACGCGTGGCTTCAGCACAAGTGTCTCGATACCTGATCATCCCAATTCCTATTGGTAACATAACAGGGTATGTGGTGAGAAGATACAGCAGATAGTCAGATATATGTTTGCTTTCCGTACGACAGACATCACTGTCAGCTTCATCTTTATCATCATCAGGCTCTGAGTAATAGCAAAGACCTGTGGCAATGTGCCATATAAGGATGCTCTGATCAAATTCCACTTTAGTAGTACTCCATATGAGAGCGTCGTACATTCTTAGAGAAAAACTACCTTTGTGACTACATAATGATTTCGGATCAGTGTTGTCTTTCATAAAATCAAGAAATTGACGGTTAATCAGATCTTTTAGTTTGTCAGAAACTTCGCTGTAAGTCTTGTAACGGTGATTTGTGCGATACTTATCTATCCCGAGGAGTTTCTGAGCTTGTAAAAAACTAGGGGGCTTCTCCTCAAGGGAGACACTCAGCAGGTCTAACTGTCCAATACAGTTGCACCATCGTGGTTTACTCGGATTCTTCAAGAATGGAAATACGAGGATATTCCGAGTGTAGTTCTTTTGGCTTAACCAGTGATCAGTCCAGTCGGAGCGCAACATGGTAATAGCTGCAAAAATTTCCATTATAACTGCTGTTGCAATTATTAGGTATGTAATAACAATATCAGTGATTCGATAATCTTCCCTATCACAGAGAAAACTGAAGCCCACCAGTACCATGACAACGAGGATAACACTAGTAACACGACATAGGAAACCCACAAAGGTGTATACAACACTCGCCTTGGTGTAAAGCATGTCATACGCGAACCCAAGTTCGATCTCAATAACAGAGAAAGCTTCACTAGACTTTAGACGTTTAAAGTACGATTGACTACTATCTCTATCTTCAAATGCGAGGATCAGGTCAACAAAGATCCGCTTGTAAATTTGGAACAGATCATAAGCTTTGGAGATTACCTCACTTCGACCTACAGGAAATGCATCATCGTTTACTGGAGGAGGGCCCTCAGGGACCACATCGACTTTCATAGCAAACCCTTGCGACTTTTTCAGGAGGAATTCCTCAAGAGTTTTTGGGTAGTTGGGACCTGGGTCAGGAGAACCAAGCATCGAGTCTCGGAGATGCTCAGTGTTTGCTAACCTAAGAGCCTGAACACGTTCATATATCTTGATGAATCCCGCTACATAAACCACTACACTTAGCAGCGGGAGATGAGAACAACCTGGCCACGACAACAAGAGGATATATATTGCAACTCCTGACTGAAACACCAGTTCCACCAAGTGTCTTAACCAAAGCTCATTGTCTTCCAGAGAGTAGGCGCTAATTGTGTCTGGACCACCGAGGTGAAGAAGGAGAAATGGTGCCCAAAAAGACTTGAGTTCGCTTGTGTTCAGTTTTTGATACTTGGAAAGTGTGCATACATCTAAGGCAGTTCGGGTGATGACACCAAGAGCTGCTGTTGCAACTGCATTTGCGAGTAAGTAGGCACACCAGAGACTGATTCTGATTCGAGTTCTTGGATTGTGTTTCCGAAGTTTGCCTAGGAAAACTAAGATAATCTGTGAAGCAATGCTGATCAAAATAAGTCCCTGAAGTGCACAGTCGTTCCATGTCTTCTTAACATGTTCTGGTATCAGCTCATATAACTTTCTGTGATCAGTAAGCACGATCAAACCTATACCTAGAAAGAACGACAAAGATGTACACATGTAAGACTTTCAGCAGACTGGATTTATTTTATGGACATGCATGCCACTTTTTCCCACAAAACAAAAGACTAATTTTATACTTGCGTTTCATTGCCATTTCCACCGGCCATTTTAATTAGGATATAAAAATAACTTGCGTTTATGTTGACTATTTTTGTTGCTTTTGGTTATAATTTTTGAGAATTATGTACATTCAAGTGCTGGTTGAAAATTTTTCAAAACAAATTCAAGAACTTGACTATCAAGAATATTAAATGAATGTAAAAGATAATTTGAACATTAAAAGGTGAAGTTAAAATTAGAATACACTTGAACAAAACATAGTAAACCATCCCAAATATAAACCGACAGAAAATAAGTAGACACACAAAAAAGTACATGTTGGCATGTTAACTCCTTATCAATCTCGATCAACTAAGATACTAAATAGGTGAAAAAAACGGTCTAAAGAAGATGAGAGGGCTTTTACAGGTTTGACCAGGTCAAAAGTGTCAAAAAGTTGAAATTCACACAAAAATAGTAAAATGGCATGTTAACTCCAAAAACCTAGGACTAATTACGTGCAAAATGGATAATTACCGAGGGACATTAACGGTTTCCCAAAGTGATAGATATGACAATCAGTTCCTACGGCAATATGAGAAGCATGGACCAGTACAAGATTCGAAAGTCAAGTACATAAATAATAAACAATACCCTATGGTTTATATGGTAAGAATAAAGAATTACAAAGCAAAAATAGAATTTAAAAGTTACGACAAAAGGGAAAAAAATTACCAATGGAAGTCATCTTCAGACCAGATACTAGTACAGTAGTACTAAACGTTATTCTTGCTTTTCTGGTGGAAGGAAGAATCGAATATAAGAGATGATATATCTCCTATTAGATATTTAGATGTAAGTGGTACTTTTGCTCCTATATACGAGGAGAACTCCTTTGCAGTTTCTGGGAAATTAGGAATAAGAACGGCCTTTAGATAATTAAGGAAGAATTAGCGCAATCCACCACAGCCACACAAAACAAAGAGTTTCTAAGTCGTCCTATTATTCTTCCAGCTGACTTCCAAGTACTTTCAGCCATCGGTTCTGGGAAATTGCACCATTGATCTGAAGTGTGGATGAGTGGATTTGGTGGCCTCCCCCAGTACCTTTCCCCTGGAACTTACATAGCACAAAGTAGAGTTGACCAAGAATTATAACCTTATTAGTAGGGGTGTCATTTAGATAATTAAGGAAGAATTAGCGCAATCCACCACAGCCACACAAAACAAAGAGTTTCTAAGTCGTCCTATTATTCTTCCAGCTGACTTCCAAGTACTTTCAGCCATCGGTCCCCTGGAAATTGCACCATTGATCTGAAGTGTGGATGAGTGGATTTGGTGTCATTTTTATGACACGACACGATAAAAATACACGACACGAAACGAAATCGGGACGAAATCAAAATTCGAATTCGTTTTCGTGTCGTGTTCGTGTCAAGTTTAAAAAACACGATGTCGTGTCGTGTCGTGTTCGTGTTACAAATCCACACGAAATTGACACGATTGAGCATGTATTTGTCGTGTTTTCGTGTTTGTCGTTTTTATCGTGTTATATATGATTAAATATGAATTAAATAAAATAATAGTTATGTAACATTATATTTGTCGTGTTGTGTCGTGTTGTCGTTTTTTAATTGGTTCGTTTTCGTGTTAGTGAAAAAAAACACGACATCGTGTCGTGTCGTGTTCGTGTTACAAAAAACCTTGTCGTGTCGTGTCGTGTCAGACAAAAACACGACACGATGGCCCGATTTGACAGGCCTACTTATTAGGATGGTCGGAATGGCTCGGGAATAGTTCTCAAAACTCAGTGGCTAGGAGACCCCGTGTTAAATTTTTGTTTGATTCTTCCTCTTTTACAGGTCAATGGTCAATGAAAATAAATATATATTTAAAAAAACAAACAAATATATATATATATATATATATATATATATATATATATATATATATATATATATATATATATATAGGTTCAGGTTCATTTGAGACCGTTCTAATTTTGTAAGACTGTGAGACCAAATTTAAAAATAATTTTAAAATGCAAAATAAATGGAAAAATCAAAAAATTCTTTTTTTAAATATTATTTTTGGAACTTGAATTAACTAAAAAAAATCCCATTTTTTTAAAAATACGTGAAATATTCTAATAGAATATTACACTATACTCGGCGAGTCCAGCCTCTAGAACACCAAAAATCGAATTTTTCAGATATACAATGCATCAATACAATTGAAACCATCCTAGACTCTGATACCACTGATGGGTTTTTGTCATAAGACATCTTATGTGCTCATACAAACCCTAATGTTTGGATCTAGGTTTCTCTATTGTACATGCTTTGAATCCAAGACTATAAACCCTAATTCTAGCATATGGAAATCGATATTAACATATAAATGGGTTTAAGATCATACCTTTAATTGTTATGTAGCAATAACAATCCTAATTCCTCCTTGAATTGACTTTGGAAGGCTTAGAGTCACAAGTGTCACTCCTCTAATGGCTTACAAACACCAAGAGCAAATGGAGAAGGTATAAAGAGAGAGGAGAGGTATAAGAATTCGTCTCTAGGACCTCTTGGGAAGGGATACCCGAATTCATGAGCCTTAGGGGGTTTATATAAGTGTAAAGATTAGGGTTTTAGTCCTTATCCTTATCTAGTTGCTTGCCCACCAAGCAACCATAAGATAAGTCTTAGAAACCCTTATCCTAGTCGAATTCTAAGGTATTATCTCCTTAAATTCGTTCACCCTATATTTAAGATAATCCTTACCTTATTTTGTAACTATCACATAATTACAATTCAGCCCCTCTAGTTTAATTAATTACACTTGATCACAAAATTAATTCCTAATTAATTATTGACCAATATTAATTAAACAAATATGATTTCTCCTTTAATATATTATTCTTATAACATATTAATAAATCATAATAACCTTTCTCTCTTTATTTATTTCTCCAATCAAGTTGCTTTGGTGAAGGCAACCCAAAAGGACCATGCATCATCGGGTCAAGTACATACCAAAATAGTTATGGACTTAAACACTAATCCAACAGTCTCCCACTTGGATAAGTCTAATAACTATTATGCGTATGACTTCAGATCCTGACTTGTCCCATGCTCTTAGCATGCACACAATGTTTACCTACAGTTCTTACTTTGTGAAATAGATCAAATTGAACACATTTCCAGTCATTCTCATTTCACAACTCCAAATCCTTTTTTCATAAGTAAAAGAATATCAAATTCTTGCCACTTATAGAATATGCTAGATTCTAATATTCTATGCAATGATTCTTTGGTAATATCACTAACCAAAGTCACAAAGACTATTGCCAATGAAATTACAAAGTCTTTTATCGGAGATTGTTACAATACAATTCCTTAGATATGATGTCTCTCACTCAAACTACATTCCTTCGAACATCCTTTTGCACAAAAGTTTCTAATCTAGACATAGATTTTTCAATATTCAATTCCTAATATGGACACGCTTCCATATTTTCCATATGACAACTCATTCTTAATAGAATCTTATCTATTCATAATAATGTCAATATGGTCCATCCAATACCATGCTTCCAACCACTCACAAGCAACCAATCCTCGTCGAACTTTGGATTGTCCTTTGATAGTTGTTTAATTATTTTAGTCAAAACCGATTCTAGTCCCTTTTCCCTCTAAATGCGCTAGACATTTGGAAAATTTTAGAATGGTCAAACATTAAAGCATTTGCAATCGATCCTATACCCGAAGCGTATGGGACACGACGCATAATGTTTTATTTGCTATGTTCTCAAAATTCAAATTGTGAAGAGGAATGTCATAATCATAATCGAAATTTTAAGAACACAGTATGTACCCTTGACTAAATTTATTAATATTTCTCAACCTAATCCTTTAGATTTGAAATGAAGCATAATATTCTCTCCCTTAATTATAGCAAAACAACTCTTCAACTGTAACGACCCGTTCCCGGTATGTTAATTAATTGTTAATTGTCTAAGTTTTCAAGAGGGACTCGGCGAGTTCTAGCCTGACTCGCCGAGTTGGGTCGCGTATTTTGTGCACGCGGGAGCCGGGGACTCGGCGAGTCCATATCCCAGACTCGGCGAGTCCGTCCGTCTGGGTGAAACCCTAAATCCCCAGGTTTGCCCACTATTTATACCACCTTATAGCCTCCATTCTCGCCTCCCTCACCCTGAGAACACAGTGTTAGAGCCCCAAACCTCCATTGAAGAGCTTATATGTGTTTTGGTGCCATTTTGTGAAGGTGTGAAGAAGGAGAAGAAGGAAGAAGCAAGGAGAAGTGTTGTAGTGCAAAGATCCAAGGCCAAATCAGAGCTAATAGAGGTATTTTCGGAGTTCCATCTTGTTATATGCTTTAAACTTCCATTAGAGCTCTCCTAAGAGCTAGTTGATGCTTGTTCCAAGCCTTACACTTGCATGAATGTCTTATTAAGTTGGAATATCTATGGATCTGAATGTTGGGGTGTTGTAGAGCCCAGATCTACTGTCTTTTTGGAGTTATATTGCATGATAACCATAGATCTACCCATTTTATGCATCTTTTAGCCTTATTTCCCTTATTCATGAGGTTGTGCATGTAAAGTTGGAAACTTTACGTGGTAAAACAGCTTATTGGACTCAGATCTATCAATTGTATGCATTGGATTCAAACAAAATCAAGTAGAAATCAGTTGCATGGCGGCGACTCGGCGAGTCGGAAGAACGACTCGACGAGTCAGGTCGCAAGTCCCGAGTCCTTCAGTTTTATCAGTGTCGAGTGTACGAGGTGAGTTAGAGAGTGGACTCAGCGAGTTGAGAGTGGACTCAGTGATGGAGGGACTCGACGAGTTTGTTCATACAACTCGGCGAGTCCAAGGCAATCTTCTTGGGATCAAGAACAACTCGTCGAGTCTGTTCATACGACTCGGCGAGTCGGATGAAGATTGTCTGAGTTCTTGGATCAAGAGGGTACTCGTCGAGTCGATGCCAGACTCGACGAGTAGCAGTGAGTAGAAGTGAAAAGTGAGAGTAGGACTCGGCGAGTTGGGTGGCCAACTCGGCGAGTCAGCCCAAAAGAGAGTTGACTTTGACCAAGGGTAAAAGAGTCATTTTACCCCAAGTGCAGTGTTTAGTATTTGATTAAGTGTGTTCATGGACTTGTAGCCGAGGAGATTCAGGAGCAGCCACCGTTAGCTTTCCGAGCCACACACTCAGCAGCCAGCTTACGAGGTGAGTTTCCTTCCAGTAGGAACGGGTCTAAGGCCACAATGTCGGCCCGTTCAGTTAGCAGTAGTTTCCGGATTTAGGTCCGATGCAGTAGCTAGTATGTTCGATGCCTTCGTGGTTCGAACAGGGTTTGTGTGCTATGTTTTATGTGTTAAGTATTATGTGTTCCGGGCCACGGCTCGATGTATCATGTCGTATATGTGTTACGTTAGTTGATGTGTTATGCTATGCTATGTTCAGTCAGACAGTTCCGGGCTTTGGTCCGATGCAGTTAGTTCCGGACTTCGGTCCGATGCAGGGGACAAGGTCCCAGACAGTTCCGGACTTCGGTCCGATGCAATTCCGAACTTCGGTCCGATGCAGTTTCGGGCTTCGGCCCGATGCAGTGGGCAAGGCCCAATATGTGTTTATGTGTTATTGTATGGTATGTGGTAGTTTGGGGGAGCTCACTAAGCTTCGTGCTTACAGTTTCAGTTTTGGTTTCAGGTACTTCCGCAAGCAAAGGGAAGAGCTCGGGATGACGGCATCGCACACACCACCGCCTCAGCTTTAGCCTGGGATTGATTTAGTTGTTTGATTTGATGTAGTATGATACAGTTTTCCGCACAGTATCTTATCATGTTTTGGAATACATCACGCATGGTTTTATTATATGACACTCTGATTACAGTTTTGATTATATTAAAAACAAAAATTTTTGGGTCGTATTTTTGGGTTGTTTCATCAACCCTTACGACTTTGCAAGGAATAACTTTTGTTTTCTATAATTAATATTGCCAACTTGAAATACTTTCCATAATAATCATACAATCATAACTTTTATGCTCCCACTATCATGATGATTACTATAAAACATAACACTTATGCTCCCACTAGCTTCGACATGTATTCATAAACATCTTAACTTTCAGAAAAACAATACTTATTGAATTTCTTAAGTCCATATTTCTAATACTTAATGCTTTGATAATCTTTTATCAAGGCTTCTTGAACTTATACACCTTTGCCTTTAGATAGTTCATATGTGTGTCTCAACAATTAAGACTAATTGCCAAACCTCACAATTCAAATTATGGAAAGGGATACCGTAACTATAATCGAATTCGAGAATGCAATTTTACAATCACTATCTTCTTAAAATCTTTCTTAG